TATGCATTTTATATTTATTATACGATAATATTCTTATTTATAGGTTTTTATGTTTTTTTTGATAGCTGTTTATTATGTATCTATGAGAAAGAATACTCTAGGTCTCTAGGTTATACAGGGTGAGCCTTAAATAAATGGAAATAAAAAAATATCCTAGAAACACGATAATGAGTTTTTTCGCGAAATAAAAATTTTGAAAATTCGGAAATTACTGAAAAATTTTTTGGAATTTTTTTTAGTTTTTACTTTAAAAACATAATTACTTGTTAATATGGCAACATGGGTAGTAGATTAAATTTACAAGAAAGGAAACCCAGAAAAGATTCAGTGTAGTTTTTTTAGTAAAAAATAATTTTTTTTTGGAAATTTTCAAGGTAAAATACCTAAATTGGTTATTTTAGACTTACCAGAATTTAGAAATATACAGGGGGGTCCAAACTGTATTCCGGAAACTTCGGCAGTATATTCTGCAGATAAAAATAAGTAAAAAAGTTCGTATAATTGTATGTCCTAAAATGCTTAGTTTCAGTGATACAGGGTGTGGAATTTTTTTTATTTCAATTTTTTCTAAATCGTTTATGAAGTAACATAAATATTTGGATGAAAATTGGTGTCTGGGAGTTTTTTGACATGAGAAATTTGATTTTGATGTCAATATGACTCCTACTAGTAGAGGGCGCCACCTACATATTTTTAACTGGTTTGAAGAGTAATAACTTTTCGTCTGTACCTGTATAAAACCACTGAGTAAAAAAATATACATTTACGACGTTTCTTACGCATTTTATGCACAATGCAGGCTCAGCCTGGGACAAATTGCATATCGCCCATCACTACCAATTATTACAGTAATTAAAAAATAACTGTAATAATTTATAAAACATTACCACTGCGAACGGCAGCTTTTCATCGGAGAGCAGTCGTGGGTAAGATATTTCACTAGAGAGAAAATTAATCAATAACAATAAACAAAAAATATAGATATTGGGCGCCAGGCATGTACAGAGAAAGAAAACACAGTTGTATATTACTTAAAACTAATGACTATATTTCATGATGTTCTTTGCTGGTACATGACATTGTAGAATTCTAATAAATATATAGTGGTTATATGTAAAAAAAATGGTGTTAAGTGTTGTACTAAATATCTATGAAAGTAATACCATTACAAGACGTAATGTAATGAAACCTAAGATCTAAATCATATTTAAAATATTAAATCGACATGAATGTTCTTAACAATCTAACCACTAAACATAGTCTGTACGATATTACTTAAGATGTACGTTATTGTTTAAGACTGAAAATGTTTTAGATGTTAAACGTAAAACTAGAACTTAAATCTACATTTAGCTGTTCTTGTGGCAATTCTATTTCGAGGAGTAGCAGCGTGAGGTGGGCTCATATCTCTGTACTGTCTGTCGGCGATCCTGTTGGCCAAAACAACAAAAGAGGCCAGAATGAGGACACCATGAATCAATACAGCCGTAGCTACTGACTAAGCTTAGAAATGGGAGCGAAGCAGCATGGGTCTTACGCTGTATCCATACCGTGGCAATATGGGGACACTACCCGTACCTTGGAATACTACTAGAACCTTGGATAATGTCTGTAACTTGGACCAAAACCTTGGATCATAATCTTGGACACAGTCCGTCCATAAGATAACGGTACAGGAGAACACTACCCGTACCTTGGACACAGTCCGTCCATAAGATAATGTACGTCCATAAGACCCTAAAAATACGAAACTCTTGTTTAAAACCAAACAAGGTTTAATAAACAAAATAAACCTACCTCGAATTACTTCCGAGGGCTCAATAATAAACAAAGAAACTGTCCTTTCTTCCATGTAACATTCTGGAGGACAAAAGAAAAGGGACGCCAACGTGCCAGCAAAATACAAATACAAGTTAAGTTGGGACATCCAAAACTCTAGCCTAAAAATATGCAGTAATAATATCGAATCTAAAAGGATAATATCTCATCTTTACCTATTGCTTTGAAATAGCAGCTGATTCAAATTATACAACAAGATTTAAATAATCACCATTTCTAAAAGCCGGGATACAACAGAGCGGCAAAACAAAGTGAGGTTAAGCACGGAGAGAGTTGACAGAAGCGATGTTGACAGCGCCTCCTCAGAGCGATAACAGGGTTGTGTCAAACGATAACAGGGTTGGCGCCTAGGGAACGTAAAAATTACGCCAAGCGTGCCAAATAAATTATCAGGCCTGAACAATACGGAGTCCGATGACGATACGCCAGACATCATATATCATAATCAAAGACATGTAACGAACTAAAAACGTTACACTATTGAAGAATTTTAATTTCTCTATTTGTTATTATTTCTTGCAGGCATTCGAACAGCACAGCTTTCGAATAGAGGATATCGATTACAAAACACAACGTAACGAATGAGATAAGGCCACTCATTCCCAACCTTCAATCTGAACGATCCACGTACACATTGTTATGCTATGTCGCGTTGTTTCTTGTTTTTCCCTGCGATAATCGCAAACGGCGCGGCGTATTATATGCAGAACGGAAATAGTCGACGCGGGATGTGCGGTGGATGCACATACTTATAAGCTTGCTCTACGTCAGCCGGCGTGGGAGATTATTAATACGAGCGGAATATGCTTTGTTTCTTTTTATCGATTTTCAATCTATTTGCCATTTTCCATGTCGTTGACAATGAATGTGAAGCGGGAAATACTGCAAATAGTAGTATGATCTTTGGTTTAGGTTGTGATTCCGATATTAGGTATATTTCAGATATATACATACACACATGGCCAAAATTATTGCATATACCGGGTGCGTCTCAAAAGTGGCTCACCCCTATAACTTTTTTATTTTTTCAGATAAAAAAACGAGATTTGGTATATTAGTATATGACATAAATTAGGATTAACTGACGTATTCAATTGTTTTCTGTCACTTCCTGTTTCACCGGAAATGACTACAACTTTTGATTTTTAAATGACACCCTCGGTATTTTTTTACTTTATTCGATAGAAAATGAAACTCTGAATCGAATGATATATCATATGTCAGCTTTTGACATATTCGATCAAAAACAAATTGTATTTTAAATTTCAATCTAGAGTGCCATGGCTATGTTAAAAAACACTAATTTTTAATCAAGGAGCCTTGGAAAAATAGATTTGAACGTCTAATATTTTTAGTGTCTTGTCCTGGCCGGTTATAAAATTTCCAAATCGTAATTTTAATCATAATTCATAAATAATCAATTTTTTCAAATGGAATGAGGGTGGGTTATTAGCATATTTGGAAAAAGCATTTTTTTTACGAATAATTTGATACCACACAATTGATATTTCGAGTCAAATTGTCGTTATGAACCGCATGTTACAATTTCAAATAAACCATATGCGAAAATGTCAAAAATTGACATATGATATGTCATTATATTGAGAGTGTCATTTTCTATCGAATAAACTAAAAAGATACACAGGGTGCCATTTAAAAATCAAAAGTTGTAGTCATATCCGGTGAAACCGGAAGTGACTCAAAAAAACAAAATATGTCAATCAATCCTAATTTATGTCACGTACTAACATACCAAATCTCGTTGTTTTATCTGAAAAAATAAAAAAAGTTATAGGGGTGAGCCACTTTTGAGACCCACCCGGTATATCGTTTAAAAAATATACGGAAAGGAATTTAAAGAATTTTTTTTTATACATAACTTTGATAGTCTGTAATGAACATTTTTTTTTGTTAAAATGGATATGGTAAACAATGTTTATCGTTCAGACTCAATATTATTACAAATTCTTGCACATTTCGATTTGTGGTCTCTTGGGTTTCAGAAGAAATTTGACCATTGTTTTGGCCTTAAAATGCCTAGAAACATTATTTCACAGTTTAATAGAGTCAGAATAGTAACACTGTCTCAACAGGCAAGTTGCAGCTACCGGCAAGTTGCAATATCTGAAATTGAAGGAGTTAACCAAAGCGATGTTTCGCGAATATTAAAAAAAATCAGGGAGACAAACGAGGTTACAGACCGGCCTGGAAGAGGTAGAAAGAGAGTTACTACTGCTGTGTAAGATCGTCAAATATCCCTAATTGCACGACGCAATCCCCTGCTTTCTAGTACTGCTATTAAAAATGAGTTAGCTCGCCTTGAAGGAGTAAATGTTTCAAGAAAGACCATAGCAAGAAGACTCCATGACAGAGGATTACATTTAAGGAGGCATCTACGTGGTCCGAAGCTTAATTTACAGCACAAAATTACGCGACTACAATGAGCTGAGGAGATGAGAGCAAATGGACCCAATTGGAATTTCGTCATGTTTAGTGATGAAACAAGAATAGGCCTAGTGTCAGCAAAATGGAAGCATTACAGACAGCGGAAGCATTATGGTATGGGCAGGTATAATGCACGGAGCTCGAACTCCCCTTGTTTTTATTGATGGCACAATGACAGGTGCCTTATATCTTAGAGACGTTTTAGAGCCTATTGTGCGTCCATTTCGAGAGGCAGTGGGGGATGAATTTATTTACATGGACGATAATGCTCCTCCCCATCGCACTTTAGCGGTTCGCGAATTTTGTGATGAAGAGGGTATAAGAAAACTGTGGTGGCCACCGATGTCTCCAGATATGAATGTGATCGAGCATGCTTGAGACATGCTAAAACGCCATATTGTCAAAAGAAATGACCCCCCCCCCGGTACCTTAAATGAATTGAAAATTGCTTCGCGCGAAAGATGGGAAGGCATTCCTCAACATCTTCTAGACAACTTGATTGAGAGCATGCCACGTCGTCTCACAGCTTGCATTGAGGCTCGCTGCATCCATATCAAAGGTTTTTAATCATCGTTATACAGAATCGCAAACAACATTCAAAAATATCGACGATATATCTAGATGCAACTCCTCAAAATTGTAAAGAAGTGGGTGAAGTATTGGAAATTCAAATAAATGAATAAAGGGTAATGGCCTATAAAATCCGGCTTACTTACCAAAGGATCCGATTTCAATTTGCGCGTGTGCGTGATGCTCCTCTTTGATCTGGCTGGAGGCAGAGCCCTGTTGACAAAGTGGTATTCACTCTTGGAGCGCAAAACCTGAAATTCAAAAATATTTCAATGAAAACTTCCTACTAACAGTACAACGAAGACGATTTTGATCGTCGCTTGCAATTTTGTGGAACTATGAGTGAACGAGTGGCGAATAATAATAATTTCCTATTTAATGTGTGTTTTTCGAATGAGTGTACAACTTAACAAGTATAGCTGGAGACGTGAGAAATATAAAATAACACGCGACCGGTGCTATCCCCAAGTCTCTTCCTATATTTGTACAACTGTACTTTCTTTTTGAACGGTGTAGTTAATCGGCACAACTGTCGGTACTGAGCTGAGGACAACCCCAGGGTTTTTCAGGAGGTGCACACACAAAACCCTCAGAAATTAAACGTGTGGGCTGGTATTTTTGGAAATTCTATTGTGGGTCAGAAGTACCGCACCTGATCATTCAACCTTTTGGCAAGTGAAAAAATGCGTAAACATCTAGAAATAATAAGAAAAAACAGCAAATTGGTCGAAGGAATTTATCCTTATCATTTGCTCTGATAAATGTTTAAATAAACCTTTCAAATTTCAATCCTTCATATTTCCTCAAAGACTTGACCAATTTTCAAAAACGAAGCGGTGAAATATAGAGAATAGAAAGAGAGAATAGAAAGCCCTTTTCATTGCGGCGTCAATTGACACCCCTTCCCATTTGAAAAAAGTTGGGGGATGACACTCCCGCTTAGAGGGTTGAAGATTTTGCAATCATTTTTGGGGTAAAAGTTGTCCCCCTCACAAACAAAATTGATGTGTTTTTGGATTTTTTGAAAAAAAAATACCCTGGCCGTTATGCCTTGCGGAACGTTTTCGATGGGCTACCCTGTATCTTAATTATTATATATTAATACATCTGATATATTATGATATTCTGGTATATCGTCGATTTTACAATAAACTTACTGTTTCTATTTTATTTTTAGGTTAGAATGGGCATAATCAAGAGGGCTACTGATACCGTGTTGTAAAAATAAGGTAATTAAGGGCTTATTTTTTGGTATTTATTATAATTTTGCTAATATCTTCGGTTTGAAAGGAGATATCAAATTGCGGTTTTAACTGACTTTTTAAGCTTTTACTACTCTTTACTATCAGCTAAAATTACATATACTATTGCATTTAATTTAAAAAAAAACGCGCAGTGTTTGTAAAATTGTAAGACAACGCCCCCTAACGTCTACGTTCAAAAGTTTATTATTATTGTTTATATGATACAATATAGAGTGAGAAACGCTCTTTTAAACGAGCCCTCGCTTGTTTGATTCCGATCATCCAGTCCAGAGTTATTAATATTCAAATAAAAATAGATCTAACCTTTCCCCACCATTTTATTTTGGTAGATAGGGGAAAATGGCTCTAACAAAAAATATTCAAAATTTACTGAAGATTATGAAACTGTTACTTATAGTACACCTTATCTAGGCAAAATTGTGTAAAAACTCCATTGTCTTATTTTTTGTTGCAGTTGCGCCCCCTAGCGGTCATTCTACAACTTCAAAATAATTTCCAGCAATTTCCCATTGCCCTTTTAGTTATAAATATTTTTTTCCGCAGCCGCTACGGCTAATACTTTCCGAGATACAGCCGAGAGCTATTCTTAGTGGGACACCCTGTACAATGTTAAGAAAACTAATACCTATAAAAGTCGCGTAGTGTTCAAATGTTGTTCTAATTAACAACCAGAAAAAAATATCATTTAATGCAATAATTACAGAAAGCATTATTTTATAATTCTTATCAAATACATATATTTTTTAAATATATTTAAAAAAATACTAGAATTTTACTGGGCATTTTAAAAAAAATACAGAACAATAGATATATATTTTAGAAAAAGTAGAAAAGACTAGCTAAGAATAAAAGAAGCTTATGTAAGCTTAAGGAATTTTATTAAACTTTTGTATTTACGAAAATAAAAGCAACGTTTTCTTTTTCAATTCAATTTGAGACAACAGAATTACTGCAAGGACGGTATTACAGAGACTTGTATCAGGATAAAACTTAAATAAAGTTTGTAATTTTAAACAAAACAGTAATTGCAAAACATAATTTTCTTGGGTATGAGTCTCATTTTGTTAATGTTGTATATGTATGTCTATAGTTTCTGGTGTCTTTTTTGCTGCCTTTCTTTTCCATTTTTCCTGTAAACAGTTATTAATTATTATATAATATTATAATAATAAAATATTATAATAAAAAATTATAGACATACATTAAAACAGTTTTTGGATAAACACTAGCAAATTTTGATCAAGATAAAAATAACAGAACAGAATGACCTAATCGTATATCGTTAACTTTCTAAACAAGGGGCTTGATCAAATTAAGATGAATTTTATTGGGCTTTAGCAAATAGTGTGAAGATCTGAAGAGGATCAATGCGAAACGTGGCTTAAAAAGAGAGAAAATAAAATAAAAGTGGGTTAATCAAGGATGGCGAAGGAAATAGAAAAGAACGAAGGTTAATTGGACCGTGATAGATAATATATTAGGCATTGAAAAATGGTTAAAAGAAAATATCTTTCAAAAATTGATTAAAACCTTTATTAAAGAACATAAAGATTATTTAAGAAAGGGAGATTTTCACAAATCTAAGATTTGTCAGCATTTATGGGACACAGAGGGCACAGAATAAATTTTAATAACGCCAAAATTATAATGAAAGAAGCGATAGTCTCTAGAGGCTTTTTTAATACAATAGATGTTAGTAATGTATGGCAATCGCTTCTTTGATTTTAAAGAACATAACATAAACATAACATACGTAATATTTAAAAATGATCATACAGAAAGTTTGGGGCTTTTTGGTTTTTCCTTATTAAGTAATTGCAGTGGCGCATCTAGAGATTGAGTCTGGGAGAGGTAGTGTAAATATTCAAAAAAGTACTAAATTTGAATTAAATTTTTGCTGGAAGGTATTGTAACTGTGGAAATAATCTACTTGGATTGGTTTGGATATTCTGTTTTAATTTGTATTATTAACTTTTTATAACAACTTTATTTTATGCCAAATTTTATCTTATTAATTAATTTCTTTCTGGGAGGGGTAATTGTATAGGGCTTGTTTCTCTCTACAATTTCCTGTTTCACAATGTACCGTTTGTGTCCGGGAAGGGATCATAGTGTCATTGTTGTCGATTTTCGAAAGAAATCAGTACATGTATATTATTTCGTATATTTTTCATTTTATTGATTTTATGGAAAGCACTGTTCATTAAAGTATTGTATCCTATGTTTTAGGGCTCGTTTCTCTCTACAATTTCCTGTCTCACAATGTACCGTTTGTGTCCGGGAAGGGATCATAGTGTCATTGTTGTCGATTTTCGAAAGAAATCAGTACATGTATATTATTTCGTATATTTTTCATTTTATTGATTTTATGGAAAGCACTGTTCATTAAAGTATTGTATCCTATGTTTTAGGGCTCGTTTCTCTCTACAATTTCCTGTCTCACAATGTACCGTTTGTGTCCGGGAAGGGTTCATAGTTTCATAGTTGTCGATTTTCGAATGTAATAATTAAAATAAATTAATTTCTGGGAGGGGTAATTACCCCCATTACCCCTCCCGTATATGCGCCCCTGAGTAATTGTTATCAGGTAGTAATTGTTAACTTTGAAGTTTAACTTGATATAATGTCATTTTAACAGAACGTCAACGGTTTTTGTAGACGTATCTGTTTAAAAAAAACTAAAGTGTCCTCGAATAGTTGAATTTGAAATATTTTAAATAATTTTTTCTTTATTCTTTGTATTTTTTTTGCTTCCGACGACGGAAAGAGGTAACTTTCCGAAACGTTAAGCATTTTTTTGCTCGTTAGGCAAATTTGTATATCTCCAAACTTTCTGTATGATTATTAATAATTTTTAAAAGTAGTGTACAAGTTTTTTTTACAAGTAGTTTTCTACAAAAAAATAACTATTTTTTTTGTAGATTTTCTTGCAGTGCCGAAATATAGGATTTTTTGGAAAAATATGTTTTGATAGTTTCAAAATTATTAATAAATAAATAATAAAAAAAAGGAATATTTTCAGGCTTATTTAAAAAAATATTAAAATGTTGTGAAATCAAAACTATACTAAATATTTACTATTGTATTACTTTGCTATAAATATCGTAATCCTAACCGTGACATATATAAACTTTTATGCAACAAAAACCAAGCTTCAAAAACAAAAATCCTACTCTCGGTCGCATATTCGAGATTCTCTATTTCTCATAACTCGTTTAACTTTGGTTTCACGTGGCTGAGTCCATTGAGACCTGAATTTCTCAACTATCCCGAAAATTAAGCGAAATCTTGTTGGCAGCTGAACGATGCAGATGGGAATTTGAAGTCTGGAATGCCAGGGGTTAATCCAGACGTGGAACAAGAATTAGATTTTTCAGAGGGGAAATAAAAAAAAGATCAAACAGGAAAATTTCTTTTTGGTTTATTTTTTTTCTATTTTTGACTTTAAAAATCGAACGAATCAGACTGGTTTATTTGACATTAGTTTCTGCCTTTTTCTATGTTTACTTTGCCTAATTTCTTAATTATTTTATTTTTAAAATGCCATTTATCGTCTTGTATAACATCCTATCATCATATTGGTTCGATTCTGCCTATTTTTTAAAAGTTTTACCATCCTTTTAACTTTAAAACTATGCATTTCTGCACCCATGTTTATAAAAAAAATATACAGTAAAATCTTAGAGTATCTAATATTATCTAACTTAAAATGGCACAAAATAATTCCCAAAAACTATCTATAAAATTACATTCTAGATTGTAACTGTAGTTCTTTATTGCTTCTTTCCTTTAGTGAACATGTATTGATCATTTTATCAATACATGTATTTTGTGTAAACAATATATCAGTTTTATAAGGATTATGCGTTAAATAATAAAAAAATGTTTATGTATTTTTATTGTCTGGCATAAGAACAATATAGAACTATTTATAGAATTCTTGTTTTGAAAATATTTACTTTCACTTCGATTGTTCAATTATTTGT